TACCAAAACCTTGCCACATAGACCCGTTACAATGCTCAATTTAAAGTATTCATGTATTTATACACGGCGATGTACTTTCCCATAATGATTAAATGAAATTTCCGTAACTTGTTTAATGTTGTGAAACACGGAGATACCATCATACGCAGAACACTTCTGTACCTGGGTATGTTGGCTGTGCCACAGCAGCGGTGCTGTGTTACTGATAACTGACAAAAGGCAATACTATTCCAAATATTACTTTTCATGTCTCATAATTTTGTGAAATGCTCAGCACATATCATTCCAGCTACTTAATTGTAATCCATATATCCTCGTACAGGTTTTGGGTTTTTTTTTGGTTTTGTTTTTGGCTAGAGCACTTTTGTTAAGGAATGATCTAGAAAAAGGTGCACACACAAATAGCTTCTGTGTCTGCATCATTAGACTCTTATGATGTTATGTGTTAGAGAGAAATGAGTCATTTCTTGTTTAAAGGAAGATGCAGCTGTTAACGTTTTCTAGTGAGAGAAGACCTGCGCTATTTTCTATAAGTGGAAAAAGTCAAATGAGCTCTACTCTCAGCTGTTGTTTTAGCAGCTGACTTACAGTAGAGTAACTGTGGTGTGAATATAATTGTGGTGATTGTAGAAAATCTTTCAAGGTATATATTTTAATGAAATACTACCTATATTGAAAAGCAATCATGATTTCAATAAACTTTGATAATGTTATGCCTCATTGTAGATCTTGCATTCCAATAGTTGTGTTTTGAGCCTGTTTACATTACATTCAAAGAACATTCTACTATATAAGTGAAAAGCATTCTCTATATGGGCAAAATACAGTCCTTCATCAGTGTACATTAAACAACATAAAATTTTAAATTTGTTTTGGATCTGTATTACCACCTTTAATGAAAGTCTAAAAATTTCCAGTTTAAATTTTGAAACCTTCAACATACTCATAATTTTTCTAAATTCACATTCACTTTTCCATCTATTTGTCTCATTTGGGGCTTTTTTCATTTAAAATCAGAATTTTTTTTTAGTTTTTTTTAAATTGTACATCCATTGAATTATGTTAATATGGTGGTTTACATGTTTTTCATTCTCTGTTCTACCTTTCCTATGTACGGTTTTTGGTTTAGTTTAACAGCAGTTAAAACAGTTTCTGGTACAGTTGAGTTTAAAAGGTTTGATAATGTCTACAGATTATCTGAAATGAAGAATGGTGTTTATAAAGGATGGGTGGAGACTTCATTTTAAATTATTTTTGAAAGCAGAACTTTACCTGAATATGTCTGAAGAGTAGGGTTTTGCTTACAAATAAATACAACCAAATGGATATTAAGAAGAAGCTTAAAATGAATTTCGAAGTCATCAATATCTGAAGAGATTGCAGATGAGATACAGGTATGTAAAAAAAAGAAAAATCTTAGAGCATAGATAGTTGATGCAAAGTTCTGGAGTTTTTTTAATATCTTTATGACTGCAGCAATAAGATGTATTAAGCAACTCTGAAAAAGTGAACAGTAGTTGCAGCTGACAACTTGATTAATAATATTTCTATTTCAGAATATTTGGTAACACGTGTATTTACAATCTTGCTCATAGCTGTCTCACTGAGGGTCAGATTCTGCTGTCCTTGCTTATGTCAAATAATTTCTTGCGTTGCACATAATCTCATTGATTCAGTGTGGAGAATGATGGCAAAACCTGACCGTAGTGACTAAAAGCAACAGTTGGTTCTTTCAGTCTTTGACAGCTGCAAGAGCAACTCTTTTTTTCCAAACCATCCATCCTAAATTCCAACCTGTAGGAGTATGGACCTATATTTAGCTAGCGAGATTAAGTTGCAAAGGCTTCAGGCAGGGCAAAGCACATTGGTCTGCCTTTTTTACAGACAGACCTTTGGGCAGACAACAGCTAAAGCTTTCCGCTCCCTCCCCTTTCCCAACTGTTTGCAAAATGGATTCCCAAAGGGAACTCACTGAAGAGCTCAGGCTTTACCAATCCACCCTTCTTCAGGATGGCCTCAAGGAACTCCTCGAAGAGAAGAAGTTTATAGATTGCTCTCTCAAAGCTGGTGACAGAAGCCTGCCTTGCCACAGATTGATTCTGTCGGCATGTAGCCCTTATTTTCGTGAGTATTTCTTATCTGAGCAAAATGAAGAGAAAAAGAGGGAGGTAGTTCTAGACAATGTTGACCCCAATGTCCTGGATATGATTGTCAAATACCTTTATTCAGCAAGTATTGATCTTAATGATGCTAACGTGCAAGATATTTTTGCTTTGGCCAGTCGCTTTCAGATCCCTTCTGTGTTCACTGTGTGCGTCTCCTATCTTCAGAAGAGGCTTGCTGTTGGGAACTGTTTGGCCATCCTTCGGTTAGGTGTTCTGCTTGATTGCCCACGACTTGCATTTTCTGCCCGTGATTTTGTTTCAGATCATTTTGTGCAGATCTGCAAAGAAGAGGACTTCATGCAGCTTGCCCCGCATGAACTTATCTCAGTCATTTCACCTGACAGCTTAAATGTAGAGAAGGAAGAACTGGTATTTGAAGCAGTAATGAGGTGGGTCCGAACGGACAAGGAGAACAGAGTAAAGAGCCTGGGGGAAATTTTTGACTGCATACGTTTTCGTCTTATGCCAGAAAAATATTTCAAAGAACATGTCGAGAAGGATGATATCATTAAAAGCAACTCAGACCTTCAGAAAAAAGTAAAGATCATTAAGGATGCTTTTGCTGGGAAACTGCCCGACCCTAGCAAAAGTACAGAAAAGTCAACCAAAGGGGAGGTGAATGGCGATGTAGGAGATGAAGATTTACTTCCTGGCTACCTAAATGACCTTCCCAGGCACGGCATGTTTGTCAAAGACCTGATTCTTCTGGTTAACGACACTGCTGCAGTAGCTTATGATCCTCTTGAAAATGAATGCTACCTAGCAGCCCTGGCAGAACAGATTCCCAGAAATCATTCCAGTATAGTCACCAAACAAAATCAGGTCTACATTGTTGGAGGACTGTATGTGGAAGAGGAGAACAAGGATCAGCCTTTCCAGTCATACTTCTTCCAGGTACAAGCCTTATAATTGTTGGTGCAACAACAGGTGCTTGTAAGAGTTACTGAAAAGTATTCTGAGTCTGTGCAAGTGACTTGTCTAGTCTGCCTGGCTGGCTGATGCAGAGTAGTATCTGTAGGGAACTATTCCTGTCTCAGAGAGGTAAATGAAACCAAGAGACTTGCATCTTCTCTTTCAAGATCAAGCCCCTGGTGAGATCTCAGAAAAGATTAAAAGGATTAGTATATTCTATCTAGGCACCAGATTTCATTATTTAAGGCCCAGATTTTTCATAGTACAGATGCCTAAATTTAAGTCTACTAATGTTTTTCTAAAATACCATTTGTGAATTTCTGTTAACGTCCATGAAAGCCGAGTGCTTAGCTGCTTTAGATCTAATGTGATGTCTTTCTTTTTTTGCATCTGAAATATTTTTGACAGCAGTAACGTGTATATTTTAAATGCCACTTTTGTCACTAAAATTCCAGAAGTCCTTTTGCAGATCTACGTTTGAAATCCTAAGGGCATTCTAAAATACATAATTTAGAGGTAGAAGGATGTTTTCTTGGCAAACTGTCAATGTTAGTACACTAAATACCATGTTTCAACTGAGAGCATAATTTTATATCTTTGTAAATCTGTATAAATGGAAGGCCAATTAATACAAATTGTAACTTCCACAGTGTATTTTAGGAAAATTAGCAAAAATACAATTTGTCATGTTTATACCATAAACTATTGTGGGTTTAGCTACCTAGCTACATGCTTTGGGAGATACTTCAACTGTCTTGTGAGCAATTATGCAATATGCTGCTGGCCATGTCCTGTCTTTAGGAACATTGGTCTAAAAGAGTGAAAGTATGTCCTGTTTCAATATGAAATAAAGCCGAGTGATACGCAGTGATAGACTTTTAAAGCCTTCATATATTAAAAAATGCAAATAGGGGTATGGCTCACTGTGATTTCACACACAAGGAAAGAGTTGGTTTCAGGCATTTGTTGTATCTATGAGAGGGAAGTCTTAGTTTGCTAGAGAGGGATCAGCACTGTTTGGTGTAGGTGTAAAACACTAATCACCGAAGTGCAAAACTTGTTCCAGAAATATTCTTCTACTAGAAGTATTGTGTTGATGTCACAATGTCTGTAATCCAGAACTGAATAGTCTAAGTCTCAGGCTACTAGAAAGGGGCCTCTGAAAAACTAAACCTCAAGACTGATGTTAAAAATTGATGAAGTTTTCAGAATCCTACTTTATATGTCTGCGTCCATTTCCTGAAATACTGCTCTCTCACTTGTCATCCTTAAGCTTGCTTGCTGCTGCTACTGCCTATAGTTAGAATACTTGTCTGCAATGCCCATGTGGCTGTTGTTCCCCTAAAATGTTAATGTGGTGCCAAACAGATTTTCACATCCTGATCTCCTTTTCTCCACCAGTGAAGCACCTGTTTCCATTTTATTTGGTAGCTAGCAACCCAGGAGAAAGCAAGGCTGCCACTGGCTCAAAAATGCATGACTAGTTTCTGCCCTATCATCAGTGGTTTTGTCATCTTCGAAACTGATTAACTAAGCATGCTGTGATCTGTGATGGGTACATCTTCTCATTACATCACCCAGATCCAGCTACTTGGGTGATCCACATTCATGAACTAAACTTCACTATTGCAATAAAACGCCTAGTCCAATAGGGGTGGTCCATCAAATCTGGGAGGTGCATTTTACCATGGAGACCTTGACTGTGGAACATACTTCTGGAAAAAGGATGTCACTGAGCTAAACCCCGATCAGATTATTTTGACTGAATTTTCTCTTGTTTTCTATCAAATACCTTTGCACTCATACAAACTCGCGTTTTACCTTCCCTTCCAGTACCTTATGAAGCAAATCTATATGCAAAGAAGAGAGAAAATACTCTTTTTGAATGTTAGTGAGCATTCAGGTTCCATTGTAAGTTCTCAGATCAAAACAAAAGTCTTTAGTCATTGTGCCTTCAGAGATCTCAGGACCTTTTGAGGGTATTTGTGATGAAATACCACCTCTTTTGCTGTAGGGATTGCAGATGTAATGATCAGGAAATGTAATATTTCCTGATCATTAAGAGGAATGGTGTGAGGACGTCTGGCATCTCTCATTGTAGTGATGAGCACAACTGGCCAAATGTTTAGGTGTGGAATGGCAGGAGTGTCTGCTCCCTTCAGGCAGCAAGAACAACTTTCCAACATGTGATAGGGAACCTAGAGAGTGAGGGACCGTTAAACAAGGAAGAGCTTAATAAAGAGGTAAAGAAACTCTGTGAGGGTGAGTGAGGGTGAGCAGATGCAGAAAGAGCTGTGTGGCATTGCCTCTGCTAGGCCTCAGCACCATGAGGTGGGTAGAAGTCACCATTCATTAGCTGCACTCAGGGAAGGGTAGGTTGTTCAGGCAAGCAGATGAGAGATACTGAGTGCAATTAGATCATCTGTGGAACAGCGTTCATTTGGATTTTTACTGTTTGCCTTTCCTAACACTTCCTGTTCTGATGGTCTTTCAGCTGGATAGCATCGCTGGCGAGTGGGCTGCCCTTCCTCCTCTGCCATCAGCCAGGTGCCTCTTCGGGCTGGGAGAGTCGGACAACAAGATCTATGTAATTGCAGGCAAGGACCTTCGCACTGAGGAGTCTCTAGATTCAGTATTGTGCTATGATCCCGTGTATGTTTAATATTTAATTGTGCCCACTGAGGACATGTACATAGCCCATTGTTAGTTGAAAGAGCCTCATGGTGATACTCTTCTTATTTCAGGGCAATGAAATGGGGCGAGATCAAAAAACTGCCCATCAAAGTATATGGCCATGCTACTATCTCAAACAATGGATTGATATATTGTCTTGGCGGAAAAACTGATGATAAGTGAGTCTCAAAGCCTTTTCATAACAACTCATAACATTATTTGCTTGATCCTTTATAGATTGTATGTCCTCACACACAGAAATCAGTTTCCCTTTTTTACATCTCTGGATTAAGGTTGCTAACAATTTGGCAGAGGGGAACACATTATGGTATATAGGGTATCTTTTTCATGATAAGGTAAAATTGCACATAAATTTTAATCCAAACAAGCTACTTTAATGACCGTACTTATTTCCAAGGCAAATTTTACTTACATTGCAGACATGTTAGTAATATATAGCTATGAGGACCCTTACTGAAAGTAGTATTTCCTTCCAGACAGAAATACTTAGGTACCATGGAATTACTGTGTCAGTTTTTCATATGTTCTGACCTGTGGTGCCTGTTACACCTTGATGGGTGTAACATTAGGAAAATCAAAGTTTTTACTGACGCTGAGCACGTGGTGGTAATTTTTCGGTGTTTGTGCAGGGGACATTTAAAATAGAAGCTTGTCAAATCCACCAAAACAGCAGCATAATCTTTCTTTTATAACCTTTGACACACATTCCTGTGCAAACCCATCTGAACAGAACACATTGGGAAAGGACACTGTCTTTCTCTGTAAGGTACAGTGAAACTGCTGCCCTGTGTAAGCAGCATTCAACATCTGATTTAGTTCTGTGGATGTGATTAGTGCTTTGCAGACATGCAAAGATTCCCAGATTAGATACAAGAAAGGATCTCATGGAGAGGAAAGAGATGTTATATATAAACCCACACAGTCCACCTTGGAACAAGCCAAAAGTTCATCAGGAATGCTCACAGGTTTTCTTTTTCCTCCACAGGAAATGCACTAATAGGCTGTTTGTATACAATCCCAAGAAAGGAGACTGGAGAGACCTGGCTCCAATGAAAGTGGCTCGCTCAATGTTTGGAACAGCTATCCATAAGGGCAAGATTGTCATTGCAGGTGGTGTCACTGAAGAAGGCCTTACTGCATCTGTTGAAGCTTTTGATCTGACCACCAATAAGTGAGTGCAATAGTCAAGGTATTTTTAAGCAAGTGTTTTATCATCTAGGCTTTTAGGAGCTCTGAGGTAAGAGTCACAAGGTGCTCAGGAACTACCCCCGAGACACTTGGGCTACATTCACATCTTTAGCAGCAGCAGCAGCTTAAAGAGCCCAGAGCTGGCCATTTCTCCTGACCCCCACGCATTTTCTATGCTCGCATAGCAACATTGCAAACACGATCAAAGAGCTCATGTAGCAAAAACAACCCACTCTCTAACCTTTTTTTTTTTTAAAAGTCTGATTACTTCCCCACTGTAGTTGACTGCACAGCCACATAAACAGGTGTACTGGCATAATAATTATAAATACTATAAAGTAGCGACAAAAGAGAGTAAGTCATACCTGGAATTAGCTCACTTATTTGGTCCAGATACTTTCCAACGTTCTTGCTTACAACCAGATGCAGTCAGCATCCCTCAAATGTTATGATTTCTGATTTATATCCTCTGTATCTGTGTCTTTCTATTCTTAATTTTTCTTTTTATTACTTCGGTTACTTTTCCTCATTGTTACAATGTTTGGCATTCTTCTGTTCCATTGTTCAGAAACGTGCAGTTTGTGGTCTAAAAATCTGCAGGTTCTTGTCTTGGTTCACTTTGTTTTGTTACAGTCAAGTCACACCAGTAAGAGACAAATTAGCCTATTGGTTTTGATGTTGACATTATCCAGAAATGGGATGTCTGCATGTTTTAGGTGTTCATAGGTGTGAATTGGCAGAAAATTTGAAATTATGGTAATGAGCTCCAGTGAGGTGGGTTTTTTTTAAACTCAAATTATGTCAATGCCATTTGAAATGAATATGCATTTTAGAAACTAGAGAGGAAAAAATGAGAGTAGCTGGGGAAGTACACATCTGTATAAAGCATATTACAGATGATGGGACCAGGCGACCTGTAAGAAGTGGTCTCTGGGAAGAGATGTCATCACAGTGCAATTCCGTCACTTAGACTTACAGAAAGCCCCTGTGGGGACAAAGACACTGAAACTCACTGCTGATAAATCTCAGAATTTGTTCCTCTTACTAAACCATTCACTCAAATGGTCAATACCTGAATTTATGTCACCCAGAGGTGTATTTTAGTGCATATTTAGAATATTTCCCGTGTGTTTAACCTAGTTTTTTCTTTTCATCTTTAGGTGGGAGATTATGCCTGAATTTCCCCAGGAGAGAAGTTCCATCAGTTTAGTCACCTTAAGCGGAGCTTTGTATGCTATTGGAGGCTTTGCGATGATTCAGCTTGAATCTAAAGAATTTGCACCCAGTGAAGTCACAGACATATGGAAGTAAGTTTAATTTAAGCACGCTTTTATGGTAGAAAGCTGTATCTAAAACTGAGGTTTGTAGACAGTAGAGGGTAAAATTAGTTTCTGTTTAACTCTGGAAATGAACCATAGCACAGGTTGTAAAACACTTGTTGACAGATAGAAATGTTTGTCAGAAAGTACCAAATAATCATAAGACTTAGATCTAATAACTACTTCCACCTACTAATTATTTGCACAGCCTGAGTCATGATCTTCAGATTCTTTTAATCTTTAAGAGAGACGTATCTTTGGCAGGTTTGGCCCTGTAAGTATAACATAAAAACACTCTCTAGTTAGTGACATTCTTACGCAGAAAGGCCTGTATACACGGAGGGTTGTACGTACTCATGCGTTAACAGTCAAACGAGTAATTGTTCCAAGAGAATCAGAAATATCTATCTCCTAGAATTTTTTTTGTTTATCTAAATCATGGTAGCAGTGATGAAACATCACATCTCTGCTGCGACTCTTCAGCTGCTAAGGTAAATTCAGGAGTTTTAACTGGCAGAAGGAAAGGAAGGATTCCCAGAAAAAACACCTTTAGATGTAAGAATCTGAAGGAATTCAGAAGGGGTACTTAAGACAAGGAGGAAGCTTTTATAGGAGTAATTAAAGTATGATATAGGCCAGCGACAAGCTTTAGAGACCAGGAAGAAGCCATGTTCTGATGTTCTTTTGTTAAATGCAGGTATGATGATGAAAAGAAGGAATGGATTGGCATACTGAAAGAGATCCGATATGCCACTGGAGCCTCCTGCCTGGCTACACGCTTAAACCTCTTCAAGTTATCAAAATTGTAAACAAAATGCTGGAAAATGTGATATGGTGAGGGAGTTTCAATAGGCTCTTCTGGGTTTGTTGCATGAAAATGTCCCCAGGTTGTACAGTTTTGTAGCAGCACACTAGTTATACTGTTAAGCAGTTCATCTGTCTGTCCAAGTCTTAAGGTATGTATTAGCTCACCAACAACTGAATTTTTGCCAGCGTTTAAAATCCTGAAGAATTCTAATTAACATTGATTAGAATAAATGAAGATTTCAGAGAGAACTCCCATTTTTCACTCCGTGAAATTGCTAAAAAAACTAGACTTCCTTACACCATCAATCCAGGATAGTGGTGGCTTATCCTCCAAACAACGCCCATGAATTAACGGTTAAGTTGGAATAAAATTGGCTACCTACTAGTTGTATTTAACTGGCTGTTCGTACAGCCTGATTTCCCCCTTCAGTGATGTATGTAAATTCTGCATTCTTCAGCTGTGTCTTGAAAATATTTTCATTAGAGCCTTCTAAAAATAATTTAGTCTGGAATCGAAGTGCATATTGAAAACAAAAGTGGCCTAAGAAATGCCCATCTCAGCCAAAGCTGTAGTAGTAGCCAGACGTGAGGAAAGTCAGAGAAGTTCACAAGGTTACTAACTCTACTGTTTAGGCTTCTGGTAACAAGGATTTTCCACTTTTTTATGCTTTTATATTTATTTCCAAAGCAAATATTTTACGGAAGTTTTTCTCAGAGATCTGAGGCTATTATAAGCATTCATGAAAAAGTCCTACAAGAACTGATCATCAGCAAATACCTACATCAGAGAGGACTTTTCCATTTAATAAAGAGTTGATGTATTTTGATGTTGAAACTTTTAACAATTAAACTTTGTTTTTAAAACTATACAAGTATCACTTGATGGTGTCTCTTTTACTGATCAGCTAATCATCACTATCATATTGACAGCACACAGATTTCTTAGTACAGCCTTTGCCCAAAACAGAACACTCAGTTTTCTTAAAGTAAAGCATGCCCACCATATTATAGAGTATCTCTTCACATGATTGCTCCATTGAATAAAGACGGTGTCAGGTACCTGAAAGATGTCATAAATATAACTTCAATTACAACTGATGAAACAGGAAAAGCAGCCCACCACATCTGACTGAACAGCAATTCCCACTACCAACTGACCCCTAGCTTTGCCTTCCTAGGAGACATATGGCAAAGGCACAGCCACCATAGCTCATTTCAGTATGTTACTGTACACTGGTATACTTAATCTGCGGGCCAGCTTTTCTGTTTTCCCTTTAGTACCCAAATCTTCAGCTGTTCTTGGCATCTTTTCCTTGGCTCCAGTGAAATCACTGGCTTACACCAGCCCATCTGCTCCAACACTTGCTGATTGAATTTCAAGAGTGACTGCAAAGGATGAAAAGCAGCACGTTTTATTGAAATACTCTTGCATTTTGCATTTCTTAGATGCCCCTTCTGAATCCACTCATAGCAAGTTTTAATCCTCATCCCACTGTGAACACACATAACTTTATCCACGTGTAACCTGAAGATGCCTGGCTTGGCAGTGACTGCCAGACACCTGAAAGGCAGGGTCAAACACATGACCACCCATGACTGATCACTGCAGCTACAGCCACTTGCCACCTCCCTTACACTCCAAGGTTGCTACTTTAAGGCTACCTGCACAGTCAAGAGCACTCTAACTTGTAGCCTGCCTTCCGCGATCCTAACCTATGAGTGTCTTCTCCATTTTATAGAAAAACTATATGCACATTACATTTTGTATGTGCTGTGCCTTCAAGGAATTTCCTCCAACCTCTTGTCTTCTATGTTTTGCAGCCCTTGTCTGTTTGATACCATAAGCAGACAACCATCAACTAGTTCTTTCAGTCATCCCACACCTGTAAGGGCTACCTCTGGAGGAAAGCACCTTGCAGCTTAGATCAATTCTGTCTTTTTTTCCTGGCTTTTCATTAGTGTCCTGATTTATATTCAGTCAATAAAAACATTTTCTTCTACTACCGAGTGCCAAAAAAAAAAAAAAAAAAAGGAGCAACAGCCAGGTGCACAATGGTCAGTTCAGAAATGCAGTTGCTTACCTCTGCCAGGTTTCAAAGGAAGCTGTAAGAAGAATGTCTATTGCTTCTACTAAAAAAGGTAAGAAACCATATACACAGGCTGCGTGTGACAGAGAAGGGCACGGCGAGCAGTTGTCATGAGGTGATGGCAGCTGTAGTCACAACATGGCTGCCTCTGAAAATGGGCTGATTTGCATAAGTACGACCACTCTACTGTTACTGCTCTACAACAAACATTCTCCTGTCTCTTCCACTTTTTCCTTCTACTTCTCAGTATCTTATGCCTCCTGACACAAACTCGGGCTGAGCACGATCACAGGAAGCCTGGTAACTGACAGATGGTTTTGAAACATGATAAATAAACCAGCAATGTTTTTTACCATCAGTAACCACGGTGATTGTCACTCTCTGAAGGCTTTTTTCTTAGTCTTCATTCTTGGTTTCAATTCTCAGCCTAATTCTGCTCTTTTGTACACCATCTTATTTACAGAACAGGCAGGTTAGACTGTTTGTCTAATTTTATTTCATTTCTATTAGCAAGGACTAGTCCAATGCATAATGTCATAATAATAAATTCCGTGAATTATCCAGTTGCTAGTAAATGCCTCTGTCTGACATAAGCATTATTTTCTCCCTGTCTTGTATAAATCTTTCAGGTATCCCTTCCAAGTTGCATTTAACTGGAGTACAAGTGTTTCAGGGGTGTGGGTGGCTGCCAGACCTCTAGAATTAGTCTACCATTTAAGCATGTGAAGCTGTTCCAGAAGGCTCAAGCCATATTTCTTCTGCACACGCCACATCACAGGGTAGGAGAAGCAGCTGGAAGTTCCTCACTGCAGAACACCCTCCCTCAACACAGTCACCCACAGTACCTCTGTTCTGGAAGATGGAAACAAAACGGCTGTAATAGCAGCCCTATTCTTAGTAAATCTGCATTTCAGTTTCTTGGTTTCACAGTACAGATACCGTTTGATCCCTGTCGCTCATTCTGTCACATGCTGGAGGACAGACATAGTTTCCAGCAGATCTGCTGCCTCCTCCCTCACAGTCAAGAGTATTTCCAACTTTTTCTTCGGCCAGTTTTATGTCTGGCTAAGCCTCTGTGCATTTATTTAGGAGACACTGTAATTTTATGGCAAAACTGTCACAGACGCATGTACTTCAAGAATAGCTTCCAGAGAACGGCAGATTTTAAGCATTTTTATCACATCTCCATGGCCCACTGTGACCTGCCTTTTGCGATCCCTAACACCTTGAGGATTAAATCTCTTGACACCTGATGCCCCATGGCAAGCCTTGGTCTAGCTGACTCACAGATAAAGAGGTTTTTGAAACTAAGTATTCCAGGACTACAAGAAGTTTAATGGTACATAAAGTGTTTGTATAAAAAGTACTTTTGATTGCATGTCTGACATCACTGTATTCCATATAGATGACTTCTCAGATATTCTAGCTGTTCACCTTCTGTGGACAGAACCATAGAATTCCATTCGAAGTGAGGAATCTGTAGAACAGAATCATACAACCTGAGGGTTAACATTGGTATAAGCCCGATACAGCAAAGAAAAGGCTCTCTGCTATCTGTTGTTCTCCACTTGAAGATATTTTATCACCTATGTCCTTCTAAAAGCTAGGCTTATTCTAGTGCTGAAAAGACTAATTTCTCAATGTAAGATTCCTCTTCATGCAGGTACAGGAAGTTTGCTTCCAGAAAGCAGCATAGTTGCAGAGATGTAAAGCAGATGCCCACGCAATACAGACATTACACTATCTCCCACCTTTTAAAACACAAATTGAGAGAAAAATCCCAGGTCACTACAGTTGGTAATGTTAATGTATCAAACTGGTATGGTGTATCAGTAGCATAACATTTACTGTCAGGGCAACATGAGAAAGAAGGATTGTCCTGTTAAAAAAAAACAACCTACAAACAAGCTTAAAGAAGGCTTCTAGCTTAAATTACAGTAGGTGAGTTGTTATATATACACAGGCGAATCTGCATCCATGAGCCTCCATTACCCAAATGTTTCTATGCCGGCGGCTGTGAATTATCGCTGGGCACTAGTCCTGTGTGTCACAGCACTGCCACTGCTGCAGACAGACAGCATCCACATCCCATCTGTGCAGCTGCTGTAACTGCCTGTCTCTCAAGGAGGGTATGTTCAATCTTTTTCTAGCGTAGAAATCTTTGGTGAATTGAACTGAAAATGTTCAATTGAAATCTCCTTTACTCAGGTATGTTGAGATTGCTAGTTTACCTGCAGTAAGGTAAGACTGAGACCTTTTGACTTCAGTTTTGCTGCAGCCACTTTCAGAGAAGGTGCAAGTTCTATAAAGTCCTTACACCATCTTGAGAACAGCTTGGAATTTCCCCCCTAAACACAAAAATTGCTCTCACCCAGTGCGGAGACGGGAGTTGGAGAATCCACAAAAGACTCAATATGAGTTATATCAGGAAACTCGTTTTATTGTGCAGATGCACTTTCTTATATAGCATAATTTTCCAAAGTCATCATGACTTGCAGTTTTTCATAAACTCTAATTGTGCTATACATACATCAGTCATCTGCTTCTACCTATCACTTTACTATTAATACTAATGCGTTCCGCCTCATACGGATGTTAGCTTCTAATCCTTCTATTCTGACCCTCAAGGCCGAAGCGTCCTTGAGGCCTACTATATTAGTTTAGACAAACTGTTCAACAGAGTTTTCCCTGTGCAGGCCCTCTAGCATTCCATGCCTGTTTTCAGCGAGCTAGGCTCCCACAACCCAGTAGGTGCTTTTAACTATTAAAACCATATTTAAATCTGTTGCAAGGAAAATATATCAATCTGTGCTATCGATACAACTCGGAAAGGACATAAAATATTGCTGACTGCTCACCTGAACTACCCGGTACCCCAGCATTTCAAGGTGTCGTTTTTTCACTGCAGGTTCTCCTTTCAGGTGGCGTGAA